CTGTATTTATATTATTTACACTTGTCTTGTAGGCCTCATTGGCTAAACCACATCCCCATTGAGCTTTGGTGGACAAAAAAAATAATATGCTATACACAGCATACCTACTTTTTCTACATTTAACTTTTGAGAAAAAAATATATAGTTTGGATTTTTCAGGATAAAATAGAAATAGTATGGTACACACTACATAGGCATATTTTTTTTTTAAATGTTCTATCATATGCTGATAACTACCTACATGCAGTTTTACAGACCAAAAAGCCATATTTATATGTATACATCTTAATGCATATATTAAAAGCAGTCCTTTGACTAAAAATCACATCAGCATGCAGCACCGAACAAATTGAATTTATTTTTTTCTACCCCCTGGTCTAGCATTGCATCCTGGGAAGGCATTGTCCTCCCCTAAGATGATGTGCATGGTTACATGTCCTTGTCACATGTGCCAGAGTTCCAGGAAGTAAAGGGAGATACAGTAATCTGCCATTAGTAAAAATGGCCACTGTAAGAAGAATAGGGAGGAAAAGAAAAATAAGGTATGCAAAAAAATAAGAAGCCTGCAATTATCTATAAGTATCTGTGTGTAGATTGTTATTACTAAACATTTCTAAAGGTGCATTTGCTGTTATTTTAAAGATATGGGTAATGTTCTGCTTTAACAGAAAAGAGTAAGAAATATTTTAGTGACTCCCTAGACAGTATTTAAGCAGTTTTGATAGGCTGCATTTGAACAGGAAGGACTAGAGTCAGCTTTTAATGAAATAATTAACTTTAGAGTGTATTTATTTTACAGAAAAAAAGACAGCTAAATATTGGACTGACTCCATACACTGTAATTGTAAAGTAAATTGTAGCAACATTAACATGGCCGCATTTTAAACAAGAGAAACAACAGGTGGATCTTAAGTTAAAAAATAAAATTGGAGTGCATTGTTTCAGCAACAAAAGTCAGAAAAACATTTTTGCACAGTATGTATGCACTTTTACGCTACAGTTTAATAGAGAGAGATCATGCAGATTTTATTGAAGAAATCACAGTTATAGTTTACTATTTTTGATAGACAATAGCCACAAATATTCCTAATTGGTGGAGCAGTGGAATAGGCTAAAAGTTAGGAGGCACGTGATTTACCCTGTAGCAAACCCTATTGATTTTGCAGCTGAGGAAAAGCTGTGGCACCTTGGCAGTGCCTGATCACCAGAATACACCGCAAACTTTGAGGTTCAACACAGTATTGACTCTGCATAAACAATTACCCAATTTCTTGTTTGCACATGTGCACTGCTGGAGCACAGAAATAGGGCAGTAGAGGCAGCACAAAATGGTAAGGTAGACAGGCAGCACCTTGGCAATATAATGAGATCCTGCCAATTTCTAGAAAGGCTGCCAAGGGGTTCCTTATCAGCACCTCCAAGTTGTGCATTGTTTGCTCCCTCTGGCATAGCAGGGTGAGGTCTTCAATTTTCCCTTGTATTGGGAATTCAAAGGGGTGGCCAACCAGTAATGGTCCCTCTCCTTTATGGTTCACATATTGGGGTCCCTGCAGGGCTTGAATGTGCCCATTCACCACAAACTTCCAGAGGAATCAGAGTCCTGGGTGATGCTAAAGACACTGGTGTCCTTAACAATCTCACCCCATCACATACAACTCCCAGGGTTTTAAAGGGGTGAAACGTACCCCTTGAAGTATGCCTCGTGTCCTTTTTCTCCTCACCGCTACCCTCCCTCCTCCTCCTACTGCTGCAACATTGCCAAGTTCCAGTGCATGGGCATATCGCATATTAGGCAGTTGACATGCAGTTTGTGTTGTTGCTTAATTTCAGCTTAGTGAACACTTGATGGGTATGACCCCCTAAAGTGGCTGCACACTTTTCTGTTCTGTCACCTCACATCATGGAAGTCAGGGTATCTAACTAGGTGCTACTGCACCACCACAAATACATTGGGTGGAATTTATCAAAGCACTTGCGCCAGTTTTAGCCTCTTAAACTCTTAAATAATTTTTTTTTTTAATGTGCAAATCTGTCTTTCAACATGTGCCCCTGTTTTCACCTGAGCTTACACTACTTTCCAACTGCACGTGTTTTGCACCTGTTTTCTTCAGAGCTTGCACTACTTTTTCAGTTGCATGTTTTTTGCACGTGTTTCCATCTGCACTTGTTCTGGGCTGTCTGACACTGGAGCATCACCTAAGAAAACAATCACAACTTAAGAAGACCACTTCTTCAAGATGCGACAGTTAAGCATTTTGCTGAAGTTAGAGGTCTTATTTCCTGGAGTCTATTAAACCTCATGTATGAACAACATTACACTAGCTTCATAAATCTGGTGCAAATATATTCCGTGCAAGTTCAAACACTCGCAATTGCTATGATAAATTCCCCCCATTGTAGTTTTTGTTGCAACATTGCTATAATTATACAATGATACCAGAGTTGGGGTATCAGTGTACTATTCTTAAGATTCATCTATTCGTAAGCCATCTCAATCTCTGTCTTAAATTGGACTTTCACCCCCTCTACCCACTTTCTGTCATATCACCCTATGCCCCTCCTCTCTCAGAATCTGACTTTTTCTTTTTTTTAATTATCTTTTTCATGTACTTGCAGTTTCCTGTAGTCTCCTGTGATACCCACGTCACACATCCCAGGAGGCCTTGGGGTACTCTACTGCCCATGTGCCATGGTGTATAAACTGCCTGTCTCTTCCTGTTACTAGCAGCCAGCCCCCTAATGATGCTTTGCCGTCCAGCAGCTGGCCCATTATGCCATTTAGGCAGAATGGGGAGGGTCACCCACTCTAGAAGTTTTGCACACAGGCTGAGGAGAGGCTGTGGACGTTCTACATGTATACCTTGGAAATAAAGCCTCTTTTTTAAAACCTGAAAACTGCTATTTGATTTACTAGAGAATCTAGTATGCATAGGTACTTATTTTTGGAAAGGTGTTGTTTATGTGAACTAACCCTTTAAGAGATGTGGGAACCTACATATGTATATTTTGATGGTTTTTAACTGCTCATTCAAGTAATACATAAAAAGCATTGGGTGGGGAAGGGAGATAGTGCTTCTTTATTGAATAAAGTAGTGATGTAATTCATAGGTATTTGTTTGGAATGGTGATATAAAGGTGAACTAACCCTTAAAAGAAGAAATCTGGGCAATTTTTTTATTAACTCTTGCAGTGGGGCTACCCTGCATTAATTTGGTCTAGGTGCAAAAATAAAAAAGTTATACTCGCCCAAACCTCTGATCTGGCCAGCTGTCACATCTCTCCCTCCAGTTTTTCTCCTATGCTGCAGCGACGGTATGTCCCTCATTGTCCTTACGTCTACACACAGTGTAGACGTAAATGTGATGACACCAGGATCCTTAAACCACTGCAGCTCAGGGAGAGAGACGCTGAAAAGACCGGTCTAAAGCCAGCTCGGAGGTTCGGGTGCGTATAACTTTATTATTTTTGTACTTAGACCAACACAAGCCCTTAACCCTTGCAGGGTGGGGGTAGCACCACTGCAAGGGTTAATACAAAATTTGCCCGGAAAGTGAGATAACTAATGTTTTTTAATATATATATTTATATGTATTATGTATGCGCTGATACCGGTGCTTTACATTTTTAAAAATATTTGGCTGCCATAAGGTCCCATGCTGGGGACCTTGCGGCAGCCTTGTGGGGACCTTACAGCACCTGTTTATAGCATGCATGGAACCTTACGGCACCGGTATCGGCGCATACCTAATAAATATATATTCTCATTTTTTCCCCTATATATATATACATATGAGAATATATATATATATATGAATGAATGAGGAAAATGTTTTAAATATATATATATATACACACACATAGAGGAGTAGTAGTGCTGGTGGTGGGAGGCCCAGTAATATTGTTTCCCCCACATCGAATCTGCCACTGGCCCTGCTGCGGCGCCCAAGCTACTGCATGTGCCCCCCTAGCTTCAGCACTGCCAACCACCCCGTGCCTCCCCTTCCCCCACACTGTGCCACTAGTACCTGGCTTCTCCCCACTTTGTCTGTGTCCCGCAGCCTGCTCAGTCTGGACACTGACAAAATACCCCGCCTCCTGCAGAGCCCGAACTGTACGGGAGGCGGGAAGACAGACCGCGGCAAGGGCTGTGATAAGGCACACGCCGCTTCCAAGATCACTAGCAGCCTGTGCTGCCTGCACTGAGAGCCGCGCATTCCTTGTCACAGCCGCTCCTGTGTTAGTGAGAGGCAGCCTCGGAGCCGTGCCGCTTCAATGACGGCCCAGCCTGCATGGCATAAGATGGGCCTGGGGGGCAATTGCCTCCCTGCCCAGTCCGTCCCTGACACATACGGACCATGGGGAATAAAAGTAGCCACCCTCCAAAAGGACAGTGTCAGCACCAATTCAGAGATGATTAGATGATTTTCAGCTGAGTGATACCCAAATAAGATACATTTTTGTTAATACTTAGAGTACTTGAATGCATTTGTAAGATTTAACTGAGTTTAGTGTCACTTTAACTGATTTAAAACAGTGAATGCCCTCTCCCATGCCATACACGTGCAGGCAAAGTGTGGGACGTTGGTTCCAGGTTGTTCCGGGGCTCTTCCAAGCTGTGACACCTCACCCATTGTACAAAGCCTTCTCCACTGAACCCTCTACAGCACCACCTTCTGTGACAGCTCCTGCAACTCAACCTATCTTGAAAACGTGTTTGAGGTCCACCCCCATCTCCCAATTGGGTGGTAAGCGTCAAGTCCTTTCTTTTGATTCGATGGTTGCAGTGTCGGTCATCAGCAAGGTAGGCTGAACGCTGGTCACCCCAGGCTCTTCTGGATGAAGTACAGACGATGCTGCCGGGGCCCCGGGGACCTGGAGCAGCGCGGGCCTTGGAGAGGTGAAATAGACGGAAAGCTGCTTTGTATCTATATAGATCAGTAGTTGCAGATCTGATGTCTGTCTATATGTAGGTGTGCATTTTGTAGAGCGCCTGCTTTTATTATAAACATAACGGTGCAGTGTCTTGATGCACATTAGGGCTGAGCAGACAGAACTTGCGTCCATGCGCTCACATTGGAAACCTTATTCTACACAGATCACCTATGCAACGTATGTGCTGTGTGAATCCTTGTCACAGAGTGTGAATGACGCGTTTTCCAGTAAGACACAGTAATGTGACCTTACATCCTCTCTTTGTCATACTTGAATCCGATGCCGGTGTCTTGCCATTGTTGATGTTGGGTTGGCTTCTTTGCTCTACCCTTCCTCCTCTCCGGATACATGAAGCGTTGCAAGTCGGACGAATTGCACCCTGAAGAGGTGGCTGCTCAAGATGCTGCTACTGTCATGGAAGTGCGAGGATCAGATTGTCCAATGCCTGGGGATGTGGGCTCTGCGGGACCATCTGTCAGCCCGGCAGCCCCTGTGTTCACTCGGAACAAACCTCCAGACCTCAAGGTAATTGCAGTATCTTTGGATTCATTGTCACTGTAGTTTGACACGTGCACCCGATTACACATTAAATAAGTACCACACATATGCACACAATATGTAAGATTAATTTGTTTTATCACAGTGCACCTTTACCTGAAAACACATAGGCTGTAGATTGATGTGATATATTTTTATCTGCCTGTATTAAAGGTATGGTAGGTAGGGATGAGCTTGGGTTTCGTCCAAACTTGAGTTTGGCTGATCCTGGAAAGAATCTGCCCGTACCAGCTCAGTCAGTCATGGCCGGAGCATTTACCACTTGTAAACTAAGGGGTGGATTCTGGGCCGACCCTATAATTAGGCAGCCTGCGACATGGCCACTCTGCTGCAGAATGTTTGCAGTGTGGCTGCTGCCCGCTTTCCGGCCAGAGCATCCCAGGTTGCTAAGAGGCGGGCGGGGAGATGTGTAAGTGCTACAGATATCTCTCAGTGCAGCTCTTACCAACCTGGGATGCTCCTGCCCACATATGGCCGCAGCTTATTGGGCCGGCACTGACAGCTTCCTTTTTGTGTGCACCAAATGCCTTTCCAAACACAGTTATTAACTTGTAAAAGTAGCAGTGACATCATCACTGTGCTGCTCTTAGGAGGCCTTAAAGCCTTAAGAGGCCCTAATTTGCCATACCCATCCGTGAAAGCAATGATTAGAGCCTGGTAAGTAGTTAATTGTATGGAATCTCTGGCTCAGTATGCCTGATCTGGTGGTATGGACTACACAGGGGTAAAAACTCTGCAGGACCTCTCACGCAATGAGGTGCGGATGCACTCTGAAAATCCTAAATCCACCAGACAACTCTTGAATCATTACATTACACTTATCACTCCTAGTTTTGGGACTTTCAGGTAGCTCTCAGATCATCCACATCTGAACTTCTTTTGAGTGATGTGGCCCTGTGCAGAAAACTATGAAAATATGCAACATGAAAATCCCACCTAGAATGACATCCTTTCCCCCAGAGCCTCCTGGGATATGCATGTCACATATCCCAGGTGATATCGGCTTCCATACAGTGGACTGAGGAGGAGGGCATGCCTGGTGGCTCATCATTGGTGGCGGCTGCCTGAACCAGGAACAGACATAACGTCAGGGAAGAAGACCATAACGTCAGGGAAGAAGACCATAACGTCAGGGAAGAAGACCATAACGTCAGGGAAGAAGATGGCGGCATGGGACCCCACTTTTGGCAGGTGAATGTGGATCACAGCAGAGCAATGATGGATGTGCTGGGCATGTGAGTATATGAACTGAGGACAATCCGGCATTTGGTAAGAGGGGATTAAAAAAAGAATAAATGGGAGGGGGGAGTTACTCTTTAAGTAATAACCGAGAGATACATTTACAAAACAATTCAAATTGTATAGTCAAACTGAAACATTTATTGGGTGCTCAAGTACTCCTGATCCCAATCAGCCTACTGAACTGTGACTCCCAATGACAGCCTGATTTTAACACTCAACACAAGGATACAGATAAAAAAAAAGCAAGTACAGGGGTACATCCACGTAACAGAAGAAGACATTCACTGCCAAGTGGGAGTTAGATAAGAACAGCTCACACACATAACAAATGCACATTATAGAGTATGCCAAAACATATAAACCTACTAGAGTTGGTTATTTGCTCTTGCACCACACACAATGTACATGATTGGTTGTACATTCACCCCTTAGAGTTTCTAAAATACTGTATTTTTTTAATTCATTAATACATTATTTTTACATTTTGTTTTCTTATATTGGCATTCGTTTACAATTTAGAGGGAGATGTTACTATTGCCCTTGCAGTTAAGCAATATTCTGAGGGAGAGATAAAAAAAAGGTGGGAAGGAAACAGGGTTTTATTAGCGTATTGGGTAGTGGGGAAGGGTAGAAAGAGTAGGGGCTAAGGGGGCCATTTGCACAGTGCTAGTTTTGTTTAGGCAGATTTACTTACCTGATCCCCGCTTTCCTAGCGGTCAGTGCTTTCCTCTTCTCCACCTTCACTCTGGCTGGTGTACTGTCCCACAGCATCCTCATGTTTAACGTAGGTCTATAAAACCTGCATTAGATGCGAGGGGGTCTTCGGGGGTCCCAAATCACTGGATCCCAGGGAGGAAGAGGCAGCGGGGATGCATCTTGCAGTCCTGAGGCCTCATTTACATCTTGGTGTTTTTGTAGCTTGAAGTGCTACAATGCTCAACAAGAGGAACCTTATTGTTTTCATTGGCCTGTGTTCACATCTGAATGTTCTGTCACTTGTAGCAAAATACTGTAGAGTGATAAAGTGCATGAGCTTCTTTTTAGACAGAATTGAGTCTTTTGGCCCCATAGATTTTAATGGGAGGCTTGAATAAAGTCTATGGTTTTATTAAAGTCCTATTTAAAGTCAATTCTGCTCTGTACTACAAGTAGTGCATATAAACTTTTGAAAAATGCACGTACAAACAGGCCCCCAAAAACCATCTAAACCGCCTGGCTACGCTCATGGTTAGGTATAAATACAGCTTGAGGGAGCCAATGCTAACAGGGATCAAGTACGGTAAGTAGATCTGCTTTACTCGAGTCCCCTAGACAAAAACGAGCACTTAACTCCTGCAGTGTGAGGGTAGCCCCACAGCAATAGTACTTTTTTGTTTTCACCCAGGGATGCTGGGTGATGCTGGCTCTTAAGGTTCAGAAGATGTGTATCAAAACCCAGAGGGAGAAGGAACACAAAGGTGATTTTATATATGTGCCTGGAGTTATTTTTTCAGAAAGAAGTCTGAGCATATAGGACAGACATTTGGATGGTGAATGATCCCTTCAATGAAATATTCATCAACTGTAACTAAGCAAAATGCTTTCATCTGCCCCACAAGGTGGAGTGTGCTGAACTTATTTGGCTCTGTGACTGTTTCCATAGAGATGCTGGAAAGTTTAGATGGCAGTGTTTGGTGTTTGAGATGTATAGTGGCTGCAAGGAGCATATTATGGAAATCAGGCTTAGTAATTTAAGCTTTTTTGTATCCTTAAATGACCTAATCAAAAGATCTGTTTGGCTAAAATCTTGTATCTGCAGTTGAAGCCTTGATTTAATACGTCTAATATAGTTGCATGTTAACTTTAAAATATTCATGTTAAAGAAAACATTTACTGTAATTAAAAAAAGAGGTTTTAACTGCAAAATAGAGTGTCTGTCTTCATGTTTAGGAACGTGAACATTGTAGGAAGGTATCTTGGTATGGAGCTTCTATTAGTGTCTAATGAGGAGGCAGTTTGTTTTCATTGACATATACTTACTATCTAGTCTCAAAAAGAATTAAAACAATTCTGGAATTCTAGAAAAAGCATGTAAATATCAGGTGAAATTAACATTAAAAAGATTTCCAGAGAAACAGACCTTTAAAATGTGACTCTGCCCTCAGTGTACATTAAAGCCTATTATTATACAGGATTTGTATAGCATCAACAGTTTGCGCAGGCCTTTACAAAATGGAGGGAGACAATACACTTAACAGTACAATTTCAATAGAGGATAGGACAAAAAACTCCTGTTGCAGTGCAAGAGTTTACTGCTTGTTAAAGAGATATTAAGTCTAAATGTTTTAGGTTATTTCAAATGCTGATTAAATCAGTTACAATGGATGTTGCTTCTTGATGTTTAAAAGTTTTAGTTTCCTGTAGAATCAGTTGGCCCCCTGAGCACTGGCCCCGGCATCCTGGTTTAGGGTGCCTTCTTTTCCTTGCAGGATCCTTTGGATACACCCTTGTGTGTGCTAGTAGGCTGTGTGTGTCTCCACAATCACAGTGACACTCCCCTCTCCTCCCTTCCTCATTCCTTCCTTCTCCAAACTGCTGGCTACTGTGCTGTCCCTTGTGATCTTGTACTGGGCAGGAAGTTCAGGGAAGTTGAGTTAAGAGAGTTTAATGCACTTTAATGTATAGGGGAACTGTGCATAGATATGTTACTTACCTGTTCCCCGCAGGCTCCAAGACCAGTGTCTGCATCCTCTTTCTTCTTTCACTGCCACAGCCCACTGACGTCATCACGTATAATGCAAAAGCCCATAGCCCTGCATTATACATGAAGATGCCAAGGGACAGTCCACTAGTGTAGGAGGGACGAGGTAAGCACTGACTGCTTTTCACTCACCTCATAGTTCTAGACAATGAGACTGTCACAGGTCGGCTCAGTAGATTGGGAGGTGAGCGAACACATGTAGGTGTTCGCTCACTTCTCGATCCTGTCACGGCTGTCTGCCGTGACAGGGGAGGGAATGGATTCCCCCCTCCCCGCTCCGATCCGCCAGCGCTGACTGGCGGAACGGACGGGGGAGGGGGCGGGTACAGCTGGCTCTGCCTCTAGATAGGCAGAGCCAGCGTCACTCACGCAGCTGGGCCGATCTCGACATCGATGTCGGGATCCGCTCCGGCTGCGGCGTCTCAGTATACCGCGAGCTGTAGCTCGCGGTATACTGAGCTTAGGGTGACGGGAGGACGTCTTAGGGTCCTCCCGTTACCCTAAGGAGAACTATGGGGAAAAGCCCTGACCCCATAGTTCTCCTTTAACACAGGAGAATAATGTATGCCTCACCACAACATTTAGAAACACATTTGTTGTGCAATTACAGTGCTTGCTGTGAACTGCTTACTTAAACTTCCGGGTGAGGAAGGTCGCATCAGACTTTATGCCTCATTCATAACATTTCCCAAGGCAGTATCATCATGCCCCCCCATAGTCCAATGCAGGGAGCATGCACAAAAGGGTGGCTCCAAAGGACTCTGCAAGAGATAGGAGCCTCCCTGAATCAGGGAATCTGGGCCAGAACTATGAGGATCAGAAGAATAGGGAGGAAAGGACATGCTTACTATATTAAGAAGTCTTTATCTCAGCAGTAACAATTGCAAAAACAAAGTAAGACTTTAATACCACTTATCACTAAGTACATTATTTCCACAGTAACTGTTTGCATAATGTCTTTTTCCTTAATGACTTACATTTGTAA